TCTCGGCGTTACAACACCATCGCGCAATGGGAGCTCCATCTAAATATTCTGAATATGCACCCCACACGGACCTACCCACCCCGGGTTACACTATATAAAAGACCCCGGGGTCTTAGGAACCCGCCGCCCGGGACCCGCATGTTACTCCGGTTGGTGAATCCCAACCCGAGTCGTTGTGAGAACAAACGGGCCCCGGTTTGACTCACGTACTTACCAGTGAACTGGTAGCGAACCGTCATACGGTCTCGGTCATTGTCGTAACAAAGTCGACTGTCCACAAGTACAGTCGGAAGAAGGTCCCCAAAGTTCCTCCCTATTCGAACTCACTCGGCGATAGATTTTGGTGACGGTTGCAGGTATTCCCCTATGTGTATCCCTCGACCTTGCCCTCCTCGGACGCTCGGGAAAGTATTTTGGCCGTCTCGGCCGTATACGGCCCGGGGGCCGGAGGTTCCCCACCCCTGCTTTAATATAATAACATTAGTATTAATATCATAACCAAAATGTCGGTGATTAACATTTTGTTTACCTAATACAGACTCACTCAACGCTTCAAACTGTCCATCATCCAAATAGACTAAAAGCAGTTTTTTGTCTTATATAGATCAGTGGCTATGTGGGAAAATACTGTGTTTGAAATGTATAATTAAAATTAGATGTTAGCTTTTTGTTTTGATATATATATATATATTTTGTATTCCAGTCTCCCTTCAGATATGTTAAGTGGCATGTCATTCAACACAATGCTGGTCACCTCCTTCAGTTGGGAGAAAAGCTGGTTCAGGTTCAGCATTTTGTGGGGACAGGGCTGCTGAGCTTAGAGATGGATCTGTTGGTGCTGGCACCAGGGGGAGGGACAACTGATTTAGTATGAATAGGCGCTAAAAATGTGCCTGCATTTATTAAAGGTAAGGAGGTAAGAATGGAGAAACCAGCTCAAGTGCACAATAATCTGAAAGTACACAACCGAAGACTTCCTTACAGAGCCCCTCCTCCAACACACACGAACGCGCACATGACCAATGAGGGCACGAGATAAGTTTGTGCAGAGATGGAGGGCTGACAGGCAGGTAGGCCCTCCAGTTATTTTAGCCAGGCCGGTTGAAATGATTGGTCGTGCTTTTTGCAGTACTACGGCTTCCACAGATGACATTTTTTTATGGATCTTTTCTCAAAGCACTTAAGATATTCATTCACACTATCGGGATGTTAAGAGCATTCCATGGAATATAACAAAAAGTGTATCTCGAGCCGGTTTCTCAAACTTACCTACCCCACCTTTAAGTAAGAGTTTTTTGCCACACAAAGTTTTATTTTCAAGAATAATTGTAAATTCTACCCGGACATTATTAATGTGGTTCTACTTGAATGTTAAAACAAAACATGGTTTGTCCAAAGTAACATAATTCTTTATTTTCTACAAATGTGGAACTCACTTCTGACACCAAAATGAACTACAATAAAATATGCAACAATCATAAAATGCAAAGCAATATTCTGCTCACCAGGTCATCGTCTTCACGGTTTGCCAGACGTCTTGTAGATGTTATCATTTCTGCTGGCATATTTCAGCACAGCAACTTGTACAGTTCAGTAGATGTTAGACATTTCTCTGACAGCTGCCTCAGGCTCTCAATGTACCAGCGTCTGTTGCAATAGAACATTTTCTGATCTGATATATGCATGACTGTCACGTCCTAACTTGACCACGTTGCATTTTAATGAATTTAACTTCATGTCAAACAATTACCTCTTTATTTATTTGACTATCAATGCTTTACATGTTCCTGGTCATCTCACACCAACGCACAGTTGTACTTTTCTGCTGATTTCAATGCATTCTTCTTGCTCTTGGCGAAATCTTTGCAAACGAAACTTGCCCACCAATGGAGCAGGAAGCTTTATGTTAACGACAATTATGCAAATGAGGATATCTCACAAAAAAGTCTTCATGAACAGCTGCCGTTCATCTGACTTAAATAAGCAATAACAGAAAAGTTTACACAGTTACGAGAGTTTATTGAGCCTCACTTGGAACACTTAGGAGAAGAGTACAAAAATGGTTTGGCATAAGGCCCAATGACAAGATAATAACTCTGACTTCAAGTTCTCCATGTTTTTCTTTTTACAATGTGGAAATAATGACCACCGTTTTAATACAATAGCTATGATGCGCAGAACTTGGGTAAAGATAGGGTATTATGCATTTTGGCATTTATGAATGAACATGAATGTTATCCCAAGCTTAAGGGAAAAACCTCATATGGTGCTATGGAAATGTAATGGTTGTAATTACTGTATAGCTTTTCTGGACAAGCTGCAATAAAAGAAAAGAAAATAATGAATATGACTACCCAGGTTGTTCAAAACGTATTTTGTATTCATCTTCAGTTGAATGTTTAATAATGCAACTGTCCTGGTTTCATAGTGTTTGTGCTCTTCCTCTGCAGCAGGCCAGCTGGTGTTTGAGGACTTCTTGAGGACAGAATACAGCGAGGAGAACCTTTTATTTTGGCTGGCCTGTGAGGATTACAGGAAAACAACCAGTCAGACAGAAATTACGACTGCTGCCAAAAGGATCTACGCCGAGTTTGTCCAAGTTGATGCGCCTAGACAGGTACTGCTTTTTGTGAAAAGTGACATGAATGAAGTCAGACCTGTGTAACTTTAGATGAGCTTCCATGATGATGTCACTGCCATGCCTCCACATTTTCAGTCACATTTAATAATGCACTTTCTTTGTTTGTCAGTGCTACAACGTTTTTCTTTGTTTATTTGAAGATGCAGTTAACTGTAACATTGTATTAAAAATGATCTCCAAACAGAAAGAAGTCATGAGTGAAATAAAAGTTGCTGTTTTCTGAACACAGATAAACATTGACTGTGTGACGAGAGAAAGCATCAGGGAAAATCTCTCCCAGCCGTGGCCAAATTGCTTCGACAGGGCGCAGGGACTGATATATGGTCTGATGGAAAACGACTGTTATCCTCGATTTCTAAAATCTGAAATGTACCAAGCTCTCCTGGAACAGGCTGAACAGCAATGAAAGTAACGTGAGGATAAAAGCTTGGCGGACGCCTCTCCGAATGATTGATTCTGCTCTCCGGCCGACGCATCTGTCAGAGGAAGCAGAAGTGAAAGCTGATGCAGAGCTGTCGATATGATTACTGACAGGATCTAAAAGCCAAATATGATGTAAATAATGTATTAAACAGCTCTGAAGTCAATTCATGTTTGGATGGTTCCTCTGTATTGCATAAAAAGACCTTTAATATAATAAAAAGTCCCACATCAAGTTCTGAAAAATGTGTACATTTGTTTTGAAAGGCATGGTTCAGGGTTAAAATGTTTATAATTTGTGTGTATAAATAAGTCATTTGTACCATTACATTCATTTAAATCAAGGAATTCTGAAAGAATAAAAAGTGTTTCCATGTCCATGTCATGTAATCCAGTATCTATGAATGCATTAATGTATTAATACACTGTACAAGCACACCTTTTTTTAAATTGGATAAATGTCCATTTCCTTTTTTATAAAAAAGATTTGTTTTAAAAAATCCTCAGATTTTCGATCAGACATTTTTTATTTTTTCAATAGCTTCCATTTTTCCGTCAATACATAAATAAACAATTTTACACTGTTTAAAATACTTAAACTACATTTATGCTGCAACAAAATCTGAACAGATATCATGATTGCAACTGCAAGAGGAGTCAAACTCGTAAAATACATTTAAAAATATACAAAAATGAAAAAATATATCTTGTTTCAGAAAATGTAATGGGAAATATAAGTATGAAGTATAAAACAAAACAGAAAGGTGAGTATTTACTGGTAATTACCCGCTAAATGATATCAGAGCCTGCCATTCCCTCCCTGTCCAGCAGTTGTCCCCAATGAGCTCTCTCCTCGTTAATTAGCCACACCGGCTGCTCCACATTCCCTCGTTAGCTCTCCACAGTGCTGGCTGACCCAGGTGTTACTAATAACACTAACGATGGCTCCATTTGATTCAAGTGTCCCAGTAAACCATGACAGTAATTCTTGAGTGAAACTGGGGTAGGAAAAATAATTTAACATTAGGTCAAGAAAGAACATAGATTTGTTTTGTTTTTTGTTTTATTTATTTAAAGGTTTTATTGATTTATTTTAATTTTATTTTGATTAGAACATAGGTTAAAGAGTTGGAATGATGTGATGATTCATACTCATGTACAGTAGGTGGCGGTATGTACCTTTTTAAGTTGTTTGCAATCCGCCAAAAGCAAGAGAAGAAGAAGAAGAAGAAGAAACCATGACAGTATGAAAGTGAGCCAGAATGCACAATCTCACGACCCTGAAACTGGAGCTGCAAAGTAAGCCACAGTATGTCTTCATTTTATCCTTTACAACTATAGGAAACGCCTGTGTGTCTCCAACTGTGACATTTGTCAAAAGTGTATTATGTACTATTCTGAATGCCTTCTTTTAACAAAGCTTGCTGTTAACACATATGAAACTTTAATTTAACTCTATAAAAACAGCTTTTAAAGGTGGGGTAGGTAATTTTGGAGAAACCAGCTCGAGTGTGCTAGAATTTGAAAATACACAACAGGAAAAATCTGCCACTTCCTTACAGAGCCCCTCCTCCAACACACACGAACATGACCAATGAGGGCACGATATAAGTTTGTGCACAGAGGAAGGTTTCCTATAGTTTCCTCCAGTTATTTCCTCCAGTTATTTTAGCCGGGCCGGCTAAAATAACTTTACTTTAATAATGTGTTTTTATGGCATTTTTGTCATTTTGGTTAAGAAAAATCACTTGTAATTATATTTTGGTTCACATTAGAAATACTTTATATTTAATTTTTCACGATTTATAATTTTAGAGATTTTTTTTCAAAACTCATATCTTCTCCTCTTGTCTACTCATAGCCCACCCTCATCAATCCATGCCGGTTGATCAAGTTTGATAGTCCTATACCCCCCACCCTAACCTTCCCTTATATTGTAAAACGATTTTGAGTCCTTGAAAAGCCCTATACAAATATAATGTATTATTATTATTATTATTATTACTATACTGTCAGTTATCAGATCTTGCTGTGTAGAATAATCTTCCTGAGAGGTGTCTGTTGTGATGTAGTCTGTGTGGTCTACAGTGAATGTATTCCTGGCAGCCACAGGTGATAAGAATCAAAGGTTCCCATAGGATCCCATAGAAAATGCATGCAGGCCATTTTTGACCCACTTATGGAAGCTTGGGGTAGTAATACAAAAAACTACAATTTCTTCAAATTTAAATTTAAAATGTGAATGACATGATATCCAAAAATGTTTTTTGAGGAATAGCTGGAATATGAAATGATACAAAAAATGTATTACAAAGATACTTCAAGAAAACCACCTCAACGGGTCCAAAAAGACCCACTTATGGAAGCTTGGGGTAGTAATACAAAAACTAACATTTCTTATAATATTTCAATTTAAAATTTGAATGGCATGATATCCAAAACATGTTTTTTGAGGAATAGCTGGATTATGAAATGATAAATCTTTTTTAATTACAAGGATAATTCAAGAAAACCACCTCACCGGGTCAAAAAATACCCACTTATGCATCTAAGTACTCACATTGAATAGAAAGAAAGCGAGTGGTGTCATCTTTCTATTTAAATATTGGCAAGAACTGAATTGGCAGTTTTCCCAAAATGTCACTAGTTTAATAGGTGGAAGCATTCCAGTTCTACAGCATGTTGTTTTTATGAAAGTATTGATCAGCACCCAGTCAGATATCTTAAACCAAACATCTCGGGTGACAGTATTCAAAATACTGTGAATTATGTTATTGTGACTGAGGCAAAGCCAAAATATGCGGTTTGATAAACAAACAAAAAAGGAAGCATGGTGTGTAATGTATTTATACATTCTCTCAATGGTTTGGGCAATATGGGAATTATGCTTTTATTTATGGTGTCCAAGTATCATTGTAAAGGCAAGAAAATGGTGGGAATCTTATTACAGACATGTAACGTTATTGCATTTATTTGGCACATTTATTCTTGGACTATATGTCCTTGTATATGCTTTTGACCTTGTGTGTGCATGTTTCTTGCTAGCATATTGAAATCTCCCTATGTGCATCTGCTGACTCTAGCCCCTCATTGCCAGCGATTCTGCAGAGAGCTAACCCCTAGCAGTCTGATAGGAGGTGTAGCATTATCTCGTTCTATTTCTGCCCCTGCCGGACCACAGAAAGGGTTTAATACTGAGGATAGGATCGGATAGGAAATGTTCGCTGGGGACGAATAAAAGTGTCAAAGTATTACGGAGAAAAAGGAAAGGACGGAGTTGGTAATGACAAAAAGAAGGATTTGCAGAGAGGGGACAATGAGGAGAAGAACAAAATGAACAAGGTGAGGGTGTTGGCAGAGGCAGGAAGGGAAGGAATAACTAAAGAAGGAAGTTAAGTCAGAGCGCAAACATTGCAGGAAAGGGAGAGGGGGATTAGAGGCAGGGAGTGATTGCTGGAAGAAGCAGAAGGGGGATGGGTGGATGGACATGGGGGGAGTGATGGAGGGACTAAGCAGGTCAGCGTCATGTGAGCAGCAGAGGCTCAGATAATGCCCCAGGATTTCGGGTTCTGGGAGATGCAGGTGGCAGAGTTCACAGTGGGTGGGAGATAAAGCAGCAGACTCTCTGCTGACGGCCACAAACTGTTTTTTCTTCCCGACTGGGGAGGAGAACTTAACACCACCTCAACACATTTCCTCCTCCTGTGGCAGACTTAAAGTGCTTTAATACTGGGCTTCAAAGGTATAGGAGTGATGAAACACCGTTTTTTCCACCCTACTAGTAGATCCACAGTGTTATTCTTCCAGTGTTTTAACACTATTGCTATGGAGCTTTTGGTTTTTGTTAGGTTTGAGTGTAACATTTTCACAACCACCCAAATGTAGGCAATGTTTTACACAGTTTTAGCAGACAAAGTATGTAAAGCATGCAGCATATTATTTCCATAAATAAATGGATATCTGAAATTGTCATTGCAAATGTTTAATGAGGAGAAAAATACATTGACTGAAAGGCAGACTTAAAGGTTTACCAGAATGACTTCTGTTGAATTCTTTGCTTACAAGAAAACTCTATAGGGCACCTGATTGATAAGCCAACAGAAACATGTCTCTAAGCTAATTGTCATTTGTAAAGTTGGCAATTTTCTGGTTCCTGCCCCTCAAATGTTATAATTTGCTTCTTTTATCTTTGTTGTACTGAATCAAATCTATTGTGGGTTCAGATCTTAAGGTTTAAAAAAAAAACAAGCAACTGACCGTTCTGGGTCATTTAATATATAACGAAGCTTTTACAACAATTTTGTTTATGTTTTCTGTCGTTTATACAGTTTTAAGTTTTAAGTAGACTATGTAGCCTTAAGCCTTAACTGTGATTTTTTTAAAAGAGGTATACAATTAAATGTACCACACACCAAGTGACATTGGTCTAAGTTATTATTTTTTACATTGTGCCTTACACTGAATCTGCAGTGCCCTCATTCACTCTTGACATTGATTTAACTTTAAAAGTGTGAGTGTCTACATGACCACTAGATGGAGACAAATGCCTTGTTTTAACAAATGTACAGTAACGGCATCATTGGAAAAAGAAGCGACACAGGATGTTCAACTATAGCTATCAAACGACTAAAAGATGTTTTTGTCTTTTTTTATATCTATATAAACATGGTCTGTAATAGATATAATAATGGCATAGCAATTCAACTAATTATAGATATTATTTTTTATACATATTGGTCTTTGTTATGATCATAGTTTTCTGTGTCTGGTCCGTTTCCTTTTTAAATGTGAAAAGTATTCTCATGATGTGTTATGTCTGTTTTTACCTATTTTCTATGTGTGATTTCCCATATCCAGTCCATCTGCACTTTATCCCCTCATTAAGTCCTGGTTTTCTGTTTGTTTGTTTGTAGATCTGTTGGTTAAACCTGAAAGTAACGTCTATCCTGTAAAAAATGCCTGACGCCGGCAGTCTCCTGCCTTTGGGTCTACCACAGCTTCACTGTGTGACAGTCAGTGCAGTGTGTTCAAGATTTCTGCTGACTGTGGCAGGCCAGTCAACCAGTTTGCAGTTTGACACTTGAGCCAGGGACTTCTGTCTGAGTGAAGACAGAGGACGATATAACAGGAACCTGTCAATCTGACTTCCCATGAATCTGCCCCGGCT